TCATTGTGGATGACTCGTCTCAATACCCTCAGCTTCCCAGAAGTGTCCAACTAGGAGTCAGGGCGCTCAAGTTTAGTACCAGCTTTGACATGGTTCCGCCATGGGACCTTCGGTAACCTGTCTCAGCCTCAGTTTACTCAAGTGAAAATGGGTACAGCCTTACCTAGGTTGTTGTGAGGATTTGCAGAGATGAATCTGAAAGCTCTTTACAGATGCTAGGAGTCTTTTAAAATACTGTTATCATTTATGAGCCAGGCCCTGAATTATTTTTGTCCTTTTAAGTAAAATGGACAAAAGTGGTCAGCTGAGTAGGACATCTTGATGAAAAACCATGAAACAGAGAGGGCAGGAAGGCTAGTCCCCATTTTACAGAAGAGGAAATGGAAGCGCATGTGGTAGTGATTTGCCTGAGGTTGCAATTCATGGAATTATTCCTGGAACTCAGGTATCTGGACTCTTGATTTCCATGGCACCGGGTACTTTGGCACTTTGCCTGCCTTCCTCTCTCACCTCTCACCAGCTTATAAGTGCTGGAGCCAACACATGAATCCATCATTTGCTGGCTGTGCTGTACTGTCTGTTTTCCAGACAATCATTGAAAATCTCCATTCCCTTAGCCAATCTCATTTGAGTCCTACCAGTCCTGCTGATTTACGGTGTTTACACTTTTCAATTATCTGAATCAGAATCACTTGTCCTGCTAAATGCTACTTAATGAGCCTGCTAGTATTTGTCTACATTTAATCTTCCCCCATTAATCAATGCTTCTGGACTCTGATCATTTAACCTGCTGGATTTCTCCCAGTTTACATTTCTTTTTCTTTTTTATTTTTTTCTGTTGGAGCATCAAGAATGGTTTGGTTCAGGGACAGACATCCTGACTCTTGCTTGATCTCTGGATTGTAGAGACAGAGCAACCCAGCCCACTGTGCTTCCTTAACTTAGAAAAGACACAGCTAATTGTTCCTCTGTCCCCTCCCACCCCCCTCTCTTCCAACATTGTTGTGTTCTGTTTTATCATTTTGCAACGCAGCCTCATTCATTCATATTGGGGCTTGAGCTTATTACTTCTTCAGTATGTATTTCCATTTCCCCCCTCCTCCCCCAACTCTCAATTTGTTTCTTGGGGGATTTTATATCCCTTTAGACTGAATCTCTGACCTTATTCTTTCTGGAATATGCCAGGCGTTATTAAACTACTGTTCATGGGCCAAACCTGGCTCATAGCCTATTTTTGTATGGCTCATAAGAATGGCTTTTACACTTTTAAGGGGCTATAAAAAACAAGGCAAAACAAGAATATGTGGTAGAGATCATATATACATCACAAAGCCTAAAGTATCTACTACCTGACCCTTTTAACAGACGAAACTTACGGATCCCTGCCTTATTCAGTTGTTTGCACTGATAACATCACTGGACGCCTGAGTAGCAATGGCTCCTAAGGGAACCCAACCTTTCCATTTTACAGATGAGGATCAGAGAGGGTGACCAGAAATCACTCAGATGAATCAGCACCAGAGCTGGGACTAGAATTCAGGTCTTGTGATGCCAAAGGCAATGTTCTTTGCACTCTCTCAGCTTCCCCCTTCCCTAAGTCACTTGCCTCTCTAGGAATACCCTCTCCATGGTCCTTATCACCACTTGCATTGCTGTGGCAGTATCCTGGTGGTGCCAAATTCCTTCTTTCCTCACACATTTTCATAAAATGAGGGCCTACAGTTTATCTAGGCCAACCTTCTTCATCCTATGTTCAAGTCTCTTCTTTAAACCACTTCACAAAATCATCTTGACAAGTTGTCAATGCTTCACTAAAATACTTCCAGCAGGAACTCCTCCAGTGACCCCATTTCCATCTCTGGACAGCTCTGACAGTGAGGAAATTCTTTCTGGTATTGAGCTCAGATCTGACCTCCTGGAGCTTCTCCCATTGCATCTGGCTGTGCCTTATGCAGACCTAGCAAGCCTGTCCCACTTTACATAAGACGGTAGGCCTTACTTGATCTCTTCTCCAGGCCCAACATTTCCAATTTCTTCAGCTTCAAAGGTCTGAAGTGCCTCCCTCTCGCTCAGTGATATTTTTTATTCCATTGAGGAAAAACAACAACAACAACAACAACAACACGTGGGTCAGTAATTGTGCTTCTTTGGCTCCTGTGGCTTGCAATTGTGAAACATTCTCTTCTAGTTGCAGGGTGCACAAGCAAATTTAATGGCGTGGTTTACAAAGTGGGGTCTGGAACTTGAGAGCTTTCCTTTGAGCATCCCTTGTTTACAGAGACAAGTGTTTTTCCATTTGTAAGGAGTGAACAGCCGGAAGGAAGGAGGCAGGGTACATGAGCTGCCATGCATGCCCCAGGAAGCACCTACTGAATGCTGCTGACAGACTGTTTGCACAATGCCTACTTGGGGCAGAGGGGGGTTGTTGTCCATCTCCTGAAGGAGTGTTAAGGGTGGGATAAGGGGGAAGAGTGGAGCTGGAGGGAACTGGGAATCTCATGCATTTAACTTTTTTACTGAATGTGCACCACACACAAAGCAGTATACTAAGCATTATTGGGGAATTAAAAATTTATAAAATGATTACCATCATCAGGCTAATTAACATATCCATCACCTCACATGATTGTAATTATTTTTTTGGTGGTGAGAACACTTTAAGATCTACTCTTTTAGTGAATTTAACTATACAATACAGTATTATGAATTATAGTCACCGTACCGTACACCACCTTTCCAGAACTTATTCATCTTATAACTGAAAATTTGTACCTTTGACCAACATCTTTCCATTTTCCCCACTCACAGACCCTGGCAATGAATATGTATATCAAAACACCCCATTGTACACTTTCAATGTATACAATTTTTATTTGTTATGTATACTTCACTAAAGCTGGAAAAGTTTGTAATACGATAACACAAAATAAAAAAATTATAAGAGCCTAGTATGGGGTATAGGTAGAGTTCTCTAGATGTTCACAGGAGAGATAATTTTTATTTGGGGGGAGGAGGAGGAGACTTCTGTGGGACAATGTCAGATGAGGCTTCATGGGGAAGGTGGCATTTGGAGGGTCCTTGACGGATAGGTGTGCAGGGTCTGGCTTGTGGAGATGAGGGGGTGGCATTCCAGAGAGGAAAAGACCTGGTGTAGATATACCTCCCCTCACCTTTTATCCATCCCCAACATCACTCCTGAATTATTCCAATTTCCCTAGTATCTGCCCTCATATTCTTCCTCTAAGCTCTTTATTTTCTAAGACCAACTTGGAAAGTGCCTGGGCCCCAAGCCCACTTTTTCTGACCCCTTCAACCCTGCCTGGGGGGTAATCAAACTTCTTCAGCTTCAGAATGACCTTCAGAATGGCCTTTCCTTGGCCAACTGCAGGAGCCTGAGTTCTTGGGACTTATTTCTGTTTCAGTGCTCCCTACATTCTCTGCTCCTGGGGTCTGTTGGTCTTCTTGCTAGTCCCAGAAAAACTACTAGGGAGGTCTCCAGAATATGTCCTATGGGAGTTCAGAAAGACCTGAGCTGTGATCTGCCTGGCACAGCCTAGTAAACAGAGGTGTGTAACAAATCCGTGTTGAGTTTTTGGACACATGAATGGCCCTGCTCCCTAAAGGACAAGGTTCAGTACATCTTTGCAGTCTGAGCATGCAGCAATGTGCTCTGTGTAGCAGACATGTTTGTGGAATGAATGGTGAGTTTGTAAATGTCACCATTGGAGGTTAATTCCTTCGGACCAATGATGCTCTTCAGTTTCAGGGGTCACCTATGAAAACACAAATGCCTCTGTCAGTGCTAAGTCATTATCAGCCATTAGCATTTTCAGGGAGATTAGCAGGCTTCAGCTAAGGGAGGCCCCTTGACATAGAGAGAGAAAGGGGAAAGGATACCAGGAGAAAATGCTGTCCCCATTTTGTGCACAAGGACTGTGTTTGGGCCTGAGCTAGACCAGGAAAAAGCTGAAGGTTCAGAGGCCATGTTCTAAAGGAGCTGTGAGAGGAGCTGGTGGTCATTTACTGAAACTGCGTGTCATTCTTCTCCTCATAAATCTTCAGTGGCTCCCTACTGCCTTGGAACAAAGCTACACTTTTTAGCTTGGCATTTGAGGGTCTGCGGTCAGCCCCACTTCTCAACCACTTTCTCCCTTCATACAACTCAACCAGGTTCACCACACAACACTATTCACCATTCCCTCCTCCCCACACAGGCGCGGTTCCACCTCTGGGTCATTGCTCATGCTGTTTGACTAGGAAACCCCCCTTTCCTCTGACTAGGAAACCCCCCTTTTTCTTCAAGACTTGCTGAAATGCTACCCCCTCTATGAAATCTTTCTTAACACACCCCACTCAGACGAAACTTCCTCTTTCTTCTGTGTTTATAATAATAATCATTCCACAGTATTCATAACATATTGAAAAGCAATGCTTCCAGGAAGCTCATCCCCAAAGGGGAAAGTTTTGAACTGAGTTTGAATATTTAGTCTTTTGTGTAATATTTAGTACGAATGCTGTGCATTCCTAGAGCATCCTTCCTTTCTCCCTCCCTCCCTTTCTCTCTGTCCCCACCTTCTTTCTTAGCAGCATTATTGAGATATTTACATACCTAACCATGCTTTTAAAAACTACAATATGTCGTTAGGCACCTTGAGTATGCTTGTAAAAAGCCACAGATGTTTCCATTTTCCCTTATTTAACAGAGACACAAACAGATCCAAGTGGAGTAACTTGCTCACAGCCACACTGTAAGCTCATTGCAGAGTTAGCACTAGGGCAAGCTCTTTAAACCCGAACCTCAGTCTCCAAGTCTGTCAAAGGTAGGTCCCTCCCTCCTTCACCTGAGTGTACTGGGCTCCAGGGAAGTAAGGAATGTGGAAGTGTTTCAGAGAGTCAGTTGGGTAGAAGAAAGTGTAAGTATATGGAGAGGTGTGTACTTTTGGCTGGCAAGGTCACTCTGTTCTAGTTTTCTATTAAACTTTTGACCCTCTCCTCCTCAGGCTATGTTTTCCACTAATCGTGGGACTGTTGGAGGATTCTTCCTGGCAGGACGAAGTATGGTGTGGTGGCCGGTAAGTTTTCTCTGCAATACTGTTTACTAAACTACAAGATTCCCTGTAGGAGGCCATATTCTTCTCAACTTGGGGACACAGTGATTCTTCCTTCCAGTCTTAGATCCATGATAATGGGTCTCATGCTCACCAGGTATCCTGGGCACCCTAATCTCTTGGGGTCAGGAAATAGTCTTTAAATAAATAATGTTTGGAAGTCTTCAACGGATAAATAGAGGAAAAGATTGTACAAGGTTGGCAGTGAGGAGACGCAAAAAGAGCACACAGACCAAGGAGATCTGGGACAAATCTGAGCTTCCACTTCTGTATCTATAAACTGAGGGTGGTACAAGATTTCCACAGGGATATGAAAGACAGTTCGGGGAATATAATCAATAATGTTGTAAAGATTTTGTAAGGTATCAGATGGACAATTGTCTTATTAGGGAGACCACTTCATGGGCAGTGTAGGTGCCTGACCACTGCACTGTACACCTGAAGCTGAAGCTGAATAATATTGTATGTCAACTATCATTTACTATATATATAGTCATGGGATGTGGAGTACAGCATAAGGAATAGAGTCGGTGGAACTGTAACAGCTATACACGATCTCAGAGGGGTAGTAGATTGGGGGAGGGGAGTTATCACTTTGTGAGGGGTATAAATATCTAACCATTATATTGTTTTGTACACCTGAAAGTAATAAAATAAATAAATAAATAAAACGAGGGTGGCAATATTTAACTTCCAGGAGTGTTGTGAAAAGTGGACACCTCTTATGAGGTGGAAACTAAATAAATAGTAGTGCTTTTGCTACATTTTTTGCTACTTTAAGTCCCATGGTAGTCTATCTATCTGTCCTGCTCTGAGAGCCTGACAGTGCCTGATACACAGAAGGCCCTCAATAAATATTTGTTGAATGGATGGAGGAGGAGCCCCTACTGTTCCCAATTACAGTTTTCCTCATCTCTTGGTGGATTTTGTATTTTGTAAACTGAAGAGGTGTTTTTTTCTGACACTTGTATGTGGGCAGGACTGTCCCACTCGAAGGATATGTGCATGGATGGAAGAGAAACCGGGAGGTCCTTTCCATCCTATCAGCACAGGGCTCTGGCCTGTTTATCCAGTTCAGCCCAATGACCATTTCGATCCAGAGTTCTCACCAAAATGACTGGTTGACCAAATTGGCCAAATTCCTTGAGCTTAAGATACAAGTAAGACTGGCTGGTGAAAGAAGGGTTAATGAAGCATATATACAATGAAAAGAGAGTGACAGCTCTGAGTTGATTGGAGGAAGAGAAGCAAGAAAACAAACCCACTGTCACATACAGCACAGAGAGAAGTTAGGAGGAAATCACACCACATTTGGCTTTTGACGTGTTGTTTTTAGATGGATTTTAATCACTGGCATCTTCACAATTGCTTGGGTTACCCCTAAAGTTATTCTTGCTTCACTATTTTTTTTTTAAAACCACATTCCGATTTTTAAAAAAATTTTATTGGGGAACAACCATGATCATTGGTTACACATTGCTTTCATGCTACAATGGCATAGCTGACTCTTTTAGGGAGGGTGCAGCTCACAGTGGCCCATGCAGGGATCAAACCGGCAACCTTGGTGTTATCAGCACCACTCTCTAACCAACTGAGCTAACAGGTCACCCCTCTTGTTTCATTCTTAAGGAGGCCAAGAATACTGGGCAGAGGCTTATTTCTGTGTTAGGTCCCTCCTGTTGTCTCTCCTGACACCATGTATGGGTAAAGGTACACACATTCCGATGCCTCCTTTCTGTTCTTTGTCAGGGCTTTTGTCTTCTCATGCTTTGGACTTTGGTGATTTACTAAAAGCTGGTGTTGACTAGGCAGCTCTGACCACAAAGTTCAAGACAAGGCTGAGATAGTCCCTCTGGAACTGTGCTGTCCAATATGGTAGCCACTAATCACATTAGCTATTTAAATTACGATTAGATAAAATTAAAAATCTCTTCCCCCAGTCACATTAGCCATATCTCATGTGTTTAATAGTTGCATGTGGATAGTGGCTAACATATTGGACAGGGCAGATCTAGAACATTTCCATCAACGTAGACAGCTCTGTTGGACAATACAGATTTCAGGGCCAAGGCTGGTGTGAAGTCTTTGTAGATTTGAGATTTGCTGAATTAGATAGCTGAATAGGCCCTTGTAGTTTACTTTAGTTATTTTGAAAACAAGTGCACCCCCACCCCATCTAATGCTTCAGTGTCCCCTACAGTAGACCTGCCAAGCACTTAATGCAGCCCCAGTTTGCATCCAACCCCGTATTCTACTCCCCCCACCCCTGCTATGCCAAGAATCTCATATCTCTTCATGTACAATTTCTAGGGCTGATTTATTGGGGTTCAGATCTTGACTTCCAAGCTCTGGGTCTTGGGGAAGCCAATGGGAAAGGGGAATAAGCATGGGGTAGAACCACCTTTAAGAGATATGCATTGTAGGCTAGGCCTGGGGACACCTCATACCTTAACCAGAAGTGATGTCTCTCTTCCTGATAATGCCTAGGAGTGGGTCTGGGCTGAGAGTTGGTTGGTGAGAGGGATTAGCCCCACCCAAAGCAGGCAGGGTTCAATGGTTCATGTAGGCTTTCCTGTGAGTGGTATTTTCCTTACTCATGTCTCAGGATTGGATTATTCTAATCCAACAGAGAAACATGCCATCATTCTTCTCTTCCACAGAAGTCCCCACTTCCTTGATGAGGCTGAAATTCAACTTTTCTTCCTCCAACAATAGTTTCCATCTAAGACTTCATGAGATTACATCAATGGTTTCTAAACCTGCTCATGTGTCAGAATCACCTGAGTATGCTTCTTAAAAATACAGATTCCTGGGCTCCACTCCAGACCTATGAAATTAATTAAAAAAAAACCTTGGAAGAAAACCCCAGGAATCCACATTTTAAAAATGCTTCTCAGATGCTTGATAATTACTGGTTTGAGTAGATCCTTATCTATTTGGTCAGAGATACTGAAAATACGACCATCTGTTAAGGATGCTGGGGACAGGGTGGGATGTGTTTGTGATTTGTTCTTGAATGAGGACACAGTGTCCTCTAAGTCTCTCCTAACTCTAGAATTAATTCTAGAAAGTTCTGTAGTAGAGCGAGCATGGGCTTTGAAGTCAACATATCTGACCTGCCACATTTACTAGTTGTGTGACTTTTGGGCAAATCACTGAACTTCCCTGAGCTTCAATTACTACCTCTATAAAATAAGAGAGAATAATACCTGCTTTGGAGGGTTCTTGCCAGGATTAAATGAGATAATTAAATGTACAGCACTCAGCACTGTGCTTGGCAAGTGCTCAATGAATAGGAACATTACAATATGGAAAAAAACACTAGGAGTGCCAAGGCCACCCCCTAGCTGGCATTTGTCTGGTGCAGACAGCATATCATAGAGGTCAGTAAGTGGAAACTAGAAGTTACGTGAAGCTGTTTTTGTATGAATAAATAAACGTGATTTATATGTATATTTATTTATAGTACTATAAACCATCAATTCCAGCTACACATTGACCACATTTTAACATCTTTGAAATTGGCTCGTGTGTTATGTAATCGATCAGTTAGCATGCCACAGTTTGAGTGGCAATGTTTTTTCTTGCTTTGTACTACATGGTATATCTTAACAATAGTTGGTGTTTTAGATTCTGTAAAGTATGATTATAATTTAAAGTAGTAGTTTTAACTACATGTTTCCTGGGGCTGGCCGAGTGGCTCAGTTAGTTAAGAGCGTGAGCTTTGAGCAACAGGATCGCTGGTTCAGTTCCCACATGAGCCAGTGAGCTGCACCCGAACTGAGCTGCCACTGAGCTGCCAACAGTTAACAGGATGGCTCTGCTGGTGAGAGTGCGTGCTCCTAACAATAAGGTTGTCGGTTCAACTCCCACATGGGATGGTGGGGTACACCTACCCGCAACTAAGATTGAACACGGGAACTGAACTGCCCTGAGCTGCCCACAGGCGGCTGGATGGCAACTGGACTTGGGGGCTGAGCTAGCTGTGCCCTCCACAACTAAGATTAAAGGACAACAACTTGAATATTCCCCTTCCCCAATTCCCCAACACTGTTCCTCTTCCCCAATTCCCCAATAAAATCTTTAAAAAAATAATAAGTTTCCTACCACCCTTAGGTGCTACAGAAATGCCTCAGGGGCTGCCCCAGCAACCTGACTTCTATTTATTTTATAAAAGGGCAACCTGCTAAGACTTTATTTGAGAACACGTTTCTGCTGACTTACAAAGTTTAAAAACGGTTAGTTTAAAAGACCAATAAGCATGGTGGTTTCTATACTAAAATTTAAAATGGGTTTAAGACACTATTGCAATACTCACTTGAAAGAAAGTGTTGAAGGAAAACCAGCATGAAAGAAAATGCCTATCTAAGTTCGTTGTCTCCAAAATTGAAAAATAATTTGAATTGCATCAAACCTATACTTCTAAATTTCCCTTTGTATCAAAATGCAAAGTCAGTTTAAGCCTGTTTGTCGGCCTGGAAGTTCATGACTGGGTTAGCAGTTCTCAAACGCACTAGCCTAAGGAGAGCATCACAGGGCCACAGGCATCTGGAGCTGGCATCTCTCTCAACCTGTGACTGAGGCAGAAACCCTCTAATGGGACCCTTTGCCCCCTCCACCTGCCTTTGCCTCCTACTTTGTGCTGTAGGAGGAGTGAGCAACCAGAGAAGCTTCAGAAAGAGAGTATCAGGGGATTTTAGGAAGGGAGGACTTGCATTCACCTTGGATTGATATTCATACATCCCCGATAACAGCAGGAGGAAATCAGAGCTTGTAAAGTCTGAAAGGAGATTGGACAGAGGAGCGGCCCTTTGGGGATATTCCTGGGGACACTGGGGATATTGAAAGGAGCGGTTGTAACCTATAACAGGTGAAGAATCAGGAGCTCTAGAAAAAGACCCTGTTCCCAAAAAATGGTAATGAGGCCAAGAGGGAGAAATGGTTTGCGCCTTGGCCTCGGGATA